GGCGAATGTACTGTGTCCGATTTGAGCTCAAGTTGGATGAGTTACGTGTAGTAAATCGCAGGTATTATAAGGCTAGTAAATGACAAATTTCCCTTGTTTATTGATGTCCAATTCCTCCCTATTATCTACTCCTGATTATATATATGGTACATACCATGTCAACCAGGCAGGCCTGGTGGCAGAGGTACATAGCAAGGTATGTCAGCCAATCTAGCATCAAAGACATAGTGAAGACGATTGCATGCTTGTCGCCCAGTCTTACACTGCTCACTGTCTTGCCACAGTATCGTGACGTCGCAGCCATCGTGTGAGCGTGACCGCAGCAGGATCGTGGCCACGCTGAGGCAGCATGTTCCGCTCGCGCAGCAGGCCCGCGCACATGGCATGGAGCTCTCCTACATCCTACCACTCGACGACATCAGCAGGTGTGCCTCGCTCGCTTTCCACGTGACCCGTCGAGCCGCGAAACGCAGCGTTTTAACTAGTAAAGTACACTGATGTCATAGGCAGGTTTTTTACAGGGTGTGGTGTGGCAGGTAGTGAAGTTTGGTGCAGGTTGAGTGTATCGTTTGCCAGGTAGATTTGTTAAGCGTCGCGATAGGTATGGTATAGTGAAGGCTTTATCGTAATACAGATAGTTTCGTGAGCTGCCCGTATCTTCCCATCCCTAGCAGATACTGGAATAGTTGCACAGGAGGAAAGGTCAGTGCCGTGAGGTGGGGTAGATGTCAAGGATCCAGTGTGTGTGGTGAAGCAGATAGAGAGGGTATGTGGTGAGACAGGCAGTGAGGTTATTAGGGCAATTTTGAGCAGGCAAATGAGGTTCCTGCAGAAGGGAGCCTAATGCAAAAGGGTGTGTGGAGTGGGGAGGTGCAATTGTTGATCAAGCTAATCACAGTTGATCACCGTTTGTCCTGCGTGATATTGTCGTCATTGCTTCTCCTCAGCTTTGCTGCACTGTTTGTGCAGCTGGAGACAGACAAGGAGGAGCTGGGTGTCGCAAGCTACGGAATCGCCATGACAACGCTCGAGGAGGTCTTCCTGAGGCTTGGAGAGGAGGGAGGCGATGACATCCTAGAGGTAGAAAAGTGTCTTCTTGCTCAGTGGTGTGGGTAGAATATGCAAGCTTGTTAAAAGAATTTTTGCGTTTATGATAAATCTAGTATACTGACCTGGATATCTATTTATATTCGCTCTAATTTATCTTAAAATACAATCAATCTAATTGTTATGAAATTTAGTGAAAATATTCTGAGTGATTGTTGTCTGACAAGGCATATCTAATGGATGTCATGATGATTTGTTAGGTCACATGAGACTCATTAGCTACAGTGGTGGTGAATAACTGTGTGTATGCCTTACGCATGTGATTGAAAAATACCTTCCACAGGGTAACATGGCTCTTCGCTACTGCCCAACCAGCCCTGTCTTCGTTTAGTTTTATGGAAGCATAACTTCAGATGTTTTCACAGTCTTCTGTTGGTTTTAACTCCCAGTAGTTAAGCCAGTATTTGCACAGCACACAGGTTGGGAATCGAGATACGTTGTGCTTTTGCAGGAGAATGTTAACCCAGCACAGTGCCTGATCGAGAGGCAAGGGAGCGTGTTGAGTTCCAACACTAGGCTAGAGAGATCGCTGTCCCGAGGTGGCCATACCAACCCCACAGAGTTCAACATCCAAGAGGAGGGAGCTGGGACCACTGCAGGTTTGCCGTGCTTATAATGTTATGAGACGTAAGCTAGGCTGGAAATGAATGCCAATTCATGATTGACTTGGTTATGTATCCTCTGTCTTTCTACCTTTACCCCTCTACTGTTTTCTCTCTACCTTTACTCTCTACAACTCCTTCACTACCTGTGCCTCTCTACCTCCATCTTTTTAGTTCGAATATCGAGTATATAGATAGTTTTACATGCATTTTGCTTTCACATGATAGCAACTTGGGATGGGAAAGGCTGCCAATGAAAATTCATTTCGATTCCGTATTCAGCCTATAGATGGTGCCACGAGTGTTTTACATCATGTGTTCGTTGTAGGTGGCGCTGTAATCGATGTTAGCAGAGATGTTATGAGCTGCAGCTACGTTCAGCGAGAGGGAACCGAACTTCACGCCACCTGGTGGCAACAGTTTAAGGTTTTACACAAGGTGCGCTGGATGAACACACTTCGCAGTATCAAGGTAATGACAGGATTGACGTGTGAGGGTAAAAAAAATAATCATTGTTCCTTCCAGGTCCTCAACTAGATGGCGCTTCATCAACTGTGCTGCTTAGGTTTCTGCAGCTTGGCTTGTTTTACAGGGTGAGGTTGTTTGCACTATCCAACCCTCTCGATGTAGCGATGCTGCACCCATGCTGTGACATAGTGAAGCTATTTGAGCATAGAATGCGTTGTTCTTGGGCGTTACCGCCGGTGGGCCACAAACCACTGATCTTTTAGTCTGGAAGTGTCTCAGTGCTAACCGTTGGTCCTTCCTTGCATCTTGTTATATATAGTTTCATATTTTTCATATATGTACGTGTCATGTATTTACATTTATTGGCATGCTCTGGATTCGTCATCTCAGAAGTGGTGACATCTAACCATCACAGCACACCCTTGTTAGCAGAGCTACAGACGTTTCAGCCCATAGGCTAATGATATTACTGCTCCACATATACACGAATTCATATATCAGGGGTTGAAATAAACTTTTGAACACGAGAGTCCAACAGACCCTCAAAAAGGTGCAGTCCGCTGCAAAATGTCCGCAGTCTGAGGTTCAAAATTAAAGATATTAACAGTAACGCATACATGTGCTTATTTTTAAGATTCATGCAGTTGCATGTCTGCCATTTTCTTTGGACATTAGCTGAAAAAATACGGTAATTCCGCAAGGCCGTGCTCTGGAACGAACTAGTTCGTATGGCAGAATTTTCAGGAAATCGCACGGACTCCTGCATATGTCAAATCAGGGAGTCCGACAGTAAATCAGGGAGTATTTGACTCCGGACTCCCGTTAATTTTGCACCCTGATATATATATATATATACATATATGAATTCGTGTATATATGTGGAGCAGTAATATCAGTATATTTGTGTATATATATATATATATTGCCGCCATTTATATCTGATTCGATCTATAAAAACAAACATTCAACAGCAGTTCCTAGACTTATACAGGGGTAGGATAATATATATATATGTAGCGGTTAGTGTAGATTGTTATGTAGAGTTGTTCCGTTGATAGTTTTATTCGACGATAGATGGCGCTGGCGTGGTGTTGTGAGGGAGAAGTGACGCGGGAAAAGGAGAGAAAGTCGTGTTTGCAAATCAATGTGTGTTTGGGAAAGAATATATAAGTTTTAACTGCATTTGGAGTGTTGCTGTTATTGGGAATACTTGCGTGAGCGTTCGACAAGCCCAAGACAGGGGCCTGAACCCCGAGGTACTGGTATTTGTACTGATAATCGTGATAAGACACATTTAAAGTACCGGTAACATTTGGCGCCCAATAGGGGACCCCTGAATAGAGTAACAGCTAGCATGTCGAACGCGGAACAGGATGCCGCTGTTGGCGGTACAGGAACAGCCAGTCCCGCGCCCTCCTCTGTACAACCTACCATGGACCTGCAACGTGTGGTGGAGACTCAGCTGGAACAGATCAAAATGCTAACGCAGCTGATGACATTATAATGAGGCACGTTAACATCACACAGCGTACGCCTTTGCAGAGCATGTATACCCATCGAGCGTGCATTGAGA